CCATGAAGGCTAAAGGACGATTTATAGGGTTTTTAGAGGGTGGGGGATGACTTAGAAATGAAGAAAGAGGCTAACATTATACTTATAGAGGGTACAACCCTAAAATTAGGGTTTTCAACCTGACCCTCGTACGCCCAGCGTACAAGGTCTCGCACCCCGACTCAACCTTGCACCTACACTGCACGTCCCTCCAGCTACGCCTCGCATAACCTCCCTCGCCTCGGTATGCCCTGCATACCACCTTGGTACACTTCGCATACTAGGGTTTTCCCCAAACCCTAAATCATCCGAAGACCATAACTTTCTCGATACAACTCCGATTTCGACCATCCTGATATCCATGAAAAGGTATCGAGACGCTCTACATTATTATCAACTCATACTCGCCATAAGATATCGTGACGAATTTCCACTTTCCATAAAAGCCCGAGATGACAAATTACCAAAATGGCCTTTGGTTCTAAAACACAAACCGAATACCCGAAACATCCGAATTACATTATCCAACTCCAACTGGGTCTAAAACTCAATTCCTCAAGGATCCGAAGCCTGCTAATACCCATTCCCTGATCACCATCCCCAACATGGGAATAATTCGATACAAGGCGTTACATGTTCGTCGTTTTTGATGTTCATATTGAGGCATGGAATTATAACATCACATTTTTTATTTATTTTAATTATTTCATGTTTGTTGTTCTTAATGTTCATGACAATGATCAAAATACCTTAAAATTAAATAATTTGATATTTAACTTTTAATGGTTTAATATAATTTACTTTTCAGAAAAACATTATTATAATATAAAATCACATACATATTATACAACAAGCCATTAAAATTGTTTAATTATAATGTAATTGTTGAATGCGTGTTCTTACCCAGTTTGGATTTTGTTTGAATACGTCTTTTGAATGTGATGAATGTAACAAATTTGTCTGAATGTGTGTTTTGAGTGTGATGAATGTAATGTATTTTGGTTTTTTGGCTTATTTTTTGAGTTGTGTTTATAAAAGTTAGAATTTTATTTCATTGTATTATATTTTTATTGCAAACTGCAAAACACCAAAAAATAAAAAAAAATATACAAATAAGACAAGTCTAAACGATTTGGATTAGACAGCAAGTAAGAAGTCTGATAAAGGCTAGGTGTCACAGACCAAGTCTATGGAAAATTCCACGATCGTCTAGAGAACTCCGGCATGATCAAGTATACTGGAGAAGTCTCCGGAGAGATCAACAATGCTTTACGATACCTTGGAAGATGCTAGAATATTAAAGATGTCTATGGAACAAAGGAGAATGATTCGGAATAATCAAGAGGGCACTAGACGAAGCTAGAACGACTCGAAAGACTTTGGAATGATCTAGAACGCACTAGATCATACAAGAGCGATTTGGATAATGTCGGGACGACCTAGAGATTTTTAGAGCATTGTAGACAAGTATACCATATTCTAGAGTCTTGTAAAGGCCATGCATATAATAAAAAGAGTCTAGATTAGTCAAGAATGATCGGGACCTAGAAACTTCCATTTGAGGAGGTGTAAGGTACCTATAAATAGGAAGGATGTCTTATTTGTAGGAATCATTGGGAAGTTGCCTTGTAAAGTAGTCGATTCTATAATAGAAGCTTTCTTTCTTACTTCTTAGCATTACTTATCGCATCTCTTGCTATCCTAGTCGTTAGTACATCGTAAGGAAGTGTTTCAAGCTTGACTTAGTCGAAGAATCAGTAAGTGACACACGGTGATTGAGTCATCCCGTGACTTGTGGTATCAGAGCTAGAGTTCGTACGAGCAAGAGATCGTAGCAATGGAAGGATGAAGTGATGTAACTAACATTCCCCCTGTTGTTGAGGAGAAAGGAAGAAAGTCCAAGAAGAGGGACCAGTCAGTAGATACCTTGGCGAACTTAGAGAATAAGCTTACCAAGGTTGAGATTAGCGTCGGTGAGATCCTTGAGTAGAAGGATACTGTCGATCAGTCCGTTAACGACATAAGGGACACATGTGATGGAATGAAGGAGTCCATACGTGTCATCAAAGAAGCAGTCCTTGAATTGATCAACACATTGCGAAACGAATATCGTGAGAAGGTAGCCGCATTAGAATCTGAAGTAAACCTGTGTAAAGTAGCGATAGTCGGAGGAGCTGTTGCGAAGACGACACCATACACAGAGGACCCAAACCATTGAAGTATGGAGGTAAACGTGACCCTAAAGAACTTGAGGAATTCTTTTGGTCGATGGAATGTTACTTCAATGCTAGCCGAGTGACAGACGACAAGACAAAGGTCGATATGGCCGTCCTTGATCTATGCGAAAGCGCACCTCTATGGTGGAGAAGGAAGCATGGAGAAATTGGGAAAGGCTTATACACCATAGACATCTGGGAGGAGTTCAAGAGGCAACTTAAGAGACAATTCTGCCCACATAATGCTGAAGACATAGCGATGAAGAAACTTCGTGGGCTAAAGCATAGTGGATCCATCCGAGACTACATAGTTGAGTTCACGAGCTTGATGCCAAAGTTACCCGAAATGCAAGAGAAAGACAAACTTTTTTCTTTCATGGATGGACTACAATCTTGGGCTTATAATGAGCTCAAGAGGAGAAATGTTAGAGACATCGACGAAGCTATCGCCGTGGCATAAGATCTAATGGAATTTCAAAGAGAAAGCACGGTTAAGAAGAATAGTGAGGGAGAACAAACTATGTCAGAACTGGAACCAAAACAAGACACACCCCAACCTTTAAATACGAAAGGAAAAGCAATCGAAGGAAGATATCGAAGAGAATAATAGAATGAGATTAAGTGCTACTTATGTGATGGTCCTCACTTGATCCGAGACTGTCCGAAGAAAAAGACATTTTATGTGATGGTGTTGCAAGAAGAAGAGGAAGAAAAAGAAGCTCACATGAGTTCCATGCGACTTCTAAACTCTATGGCAAAAGATGAGACAAAGGAATAGAAAGGGAGTAGTTCTAAGGTAGGAAGTCTCATGCTAGTTGAAGCCAAGGTGAATGGAGGAAATACCAAGGCGCTAATAGATTCAGGTGCGACTCACAACTTCCTTTTTGAAAACGAAGCAAAGAGATTGGGGATCCACTACATGAAAGAAGAAGGCCACTTGAAGGTTGTCAATTCTCCATCCAATCCTATCATAGGAGTTTCACGTGGAGTACCCATGAAAATCGCAGAATGGGAAGGCACCATTAACTTGGTAGTCGTACCCATGGACGACTATAACATGGTATTAGGAATGGAATTTCTAGACGAAGTAAGTCCATGGTCGTTTGAAAATGATAACACTATGCGTATTACTAAAGGTACAATCATTCACATCGTACCTCTGGATAGGAGTAGAACAAGGTCTCGAACGCTATCGACTATGAAGTTTAACAAAGACCTTAAAGAAGTCGTGAAGATACGAAACAATACCCTAAGTTGGAAGAAGGAACATAATTCACAAGCGACTAGTAATCATAATGATCGAATCAATAAGTATGTGAGACCAAACAACGTAGTTCAAGGTATCGACACATGCCAATGCAAGATGGGGTCGCGATCAACCTTGAGAATTGGTCCGATATTCCATGAGGCTACAAGAAGACCCAAAACAGGCAAAAAAGTAAGAACACAAGTGACACCTCACTTGAAAGATTATTATACAAGAATAATTGATTGAACGTCAAGGGTTTAAGTGGGGGAGGGTGTCACAGACCAAGTTTTTGGAAAATTCCACGATCGTCTAGAGAACTTCGACATGATCAAGTATACTCGAGAAGTCTCCGGAGAGATCAAGAATGCTCTACGAGACCCTGGAAAATGCTAGAATATTATAGATGTACGTGGAACAAAAGAGAACGATCCAGAATAATTAAGAGGGCACTAGACGAAGCTAGAACGACCCGGAAGACTTTGGAACGATCTAGAACACACTAGATCATACAAGAGCGATTTGGATAATGTCGGGACGACCTAGAGATTTCTAGAGATGTAGACAAGTATACCATATTCTAGAGTATTGTAAAGGCCATGTATATAATAAGAAGAGTCTAGATTAGTCAAGAATGATCGGGACCTAGAAACTTCCATTTGAGGAGGTGTAAGGTACCTATAAATAGGAAGGATGTCTCATTTGTAGGAATCATTGGGAAGTTGTCTTGTAAAGTAGTCGAGTCTATAATAGAAACTTTCTTTCTTACTTCGTATCATTCCTTATCGCATCTCTTGCTATCCTAGTCGTTAGTACATCGTAAGAAAGTGTTCCAAGTCTGACTTAGTTGAAGAATCACTAAGTGGCACACGGTGATTGAGTCATCCCGTGACATAGGGCTCAATAGCATACCCATCATTGCCAACATCCTAGCTCAAGGTAACCCAACAACCAGGTGAGGCTTAGATTGAACACAACCCAAGACAAGGCGAGACCCAACCCAACCTACTCAGATCAGCCTAACACCGTAACAACGCCACTCCCACCCAGAGTCGACAATCTTTCTTTCTTTCTTCTCTCTCTTTTCTTTTCTTTCTTTTTTTTTTTTTTTTTTACGATCATTTCAACGCAAATAACCGATGAATGCATGAATGATAGGTAGATCACCACCTTCACCATAGCTAGATAATAGTTTTCTATATATAATTTTAATATTTTAAGTAAAGCTCGCCGTTAACACTCTTGAAATGATATGAAATCATGAAGATATAGGGTTGTACTTTATCGGGATGAGGTACTTTATTAGTCATGCTATGTGGTTTTGATCACAAACTTCATTTAGTACCTTAAAGAGCTCTATTAAGACTTTGGTAACGGTTGTATCGCTTGTACATGTTTCTTGCGAATAATGAGAGCTTTGCTTTATGGGAACAAAATAACACAAGGTATGTTTTGCAATTTAAACGGGTCATTTTGTAAAATTCCAATAAAAAATGGTTTCCACATAAAGTACTCCATTTTAGAAGCTTATCATAGTGAAATAGCTTTACTTTATTCCTTAGATTCATCTTAAAGACCTATTTGCCAACAAAATAGTGATTTATGTGTCAACAACCCTTTTTATTCCATTCAATCAAGACTTTGGAATCAATTTCTCCCAGAAGCCTAAAACACGACATTGATCTCCGTCTTGCCTTCGATATCAAGGGAAATTGCGTAGTTTCCATCTCTCTTGAATCTCAATCCAACAGAGGAAGCTATGTCTGGACTTGAATTCGTCAAAAAGTAATGCAAATACTGACAACAATTACACTTGTAGGGAGTCAGGCCACCTGTCAACTTCCGTCTCTTGTTTCTTCCTCTACTTTGGTCTCTCCGATCTGACCAAAAACCCTAGTGAGTTATTATTATCCTCGATTCGAAGAATAGATTGTTTAATTTTGGGATAACGTTGGGTGTCTGCGAGAAGGGAGAAACTGATCGGAAAATGGAGCGACGGGGGAGTCCTCCGAAGCATAGACACGATGGGACTTCGCCTTTGCCTTTGGGGATGGATTGGAGCCCTCCACCTAAAAAATGGGTACTGTTTTTGTTTATATCATATGATTAAATTCTGATCCCATTTTTTATTTACTTTACTTCCGATCGAAGAATTGAGTTGGTTCTTTACTTACCTGTTCGTTCTTCTGTTCATCGAAGTCGAATTATACGGGGATTATAGATTGGATGTGAAGTTTCAGACGTAGTAGTTGTCATTGAATTCAATGTTTGGGATTGGAGCACAATTTTTGTCCCTATTCCAATTTTAAGTTTTGAATTTGTCTTGGTTGATGCTAGTCCATTAGCTTAGTCCATAAATGCCATACTTATAGTTGAATGTGGATAGAAACTGTGAGAACTTGTTTATGCTCATCAAATGTATTGCTTACATGTGAAGTTGGATTCAGTTGTTTGAAAGCTACTTTATTCTGTCTCCATAGGCAATTGGAATTTGCTTTTCGGATGCAGTTATTTGTGGGTGTTTGGATGTGTCTTTAAAGAGATCATTGTTACCCAAGTTTTCCACTCATCAGCTTAGATTGAAAACAAGATACAATCTTTCTCCATCACAAGTAATTGTGCTACTAAACTTGTATATGATGTTTAAATGGAAACAGTTAAAAGAATCCATAAAAACAAAGCAAAAAAGGTATCTATCTACAGTTGACAATCTTGGAAGTAGATTGTGATACAATGAAAAGGAAGATTAGATCATATGTGGCTAATTTACATTGATTTCTATATAATCAAAAAAGTGTTATGATGTAAAATTTGTGTTTGAAAACTCCATATTCTGCAGAATGGAAGGGATACAATTTGGCCACATGATCCAAGAACAGGATGGAGTTACTGCATCACAATCCCAACATGGGTTGTCCTTCCAAAATCTAGAGACTCAGATCCTGTTGTGGTACTTACTTACTACTACTCACTTATTATCTAAAGTCCAAGGATAATAATGTAATTTTACATGTTTTTAACATTCTTAAGACAGTTTTACAGGGTTCAAGTTGGTTTACAATCTCCCAAAGGGGTCACAACAACACGAACAGTATCAAGAAGATTTAATGATTTCTTAAGATTGCTTGCTGCTGTAAGTTACATTTCCATTTGTTAATAAGCAAGATGATGTTCATGTTCTTATAAAGTTATAATGTTTTTTTCTTTTATATCATTTTTAATTTGTTTTTTGCAGCTTAGGAAAGCATTCCCCAAAAAGAATCTCCCACCAGCTCCACCAAAGGGACTCTTGAGGTTAAAAAGCCGAACTTTATTGGAAGAGGTAGTAGTTAGTATTTGATTTTGGTCATTATTGATGAATTTTGTTAAAAAATCTTTATGGGTATTTAAGATTTGTATAAATCTTATTATGTAGAGGCGTTGTTCTTTGGAAGAGTGGATGACAAAACTGCTATCTGACATTGATATATCAAGAAGCATTGTAGTGGCATCCTTTCTTGAACTTGAATCTGCTGCAAGATCTTGTATGTAATTTGACTAATTTCTCCTTTCTGCTTTGGGTTAAGTGCATGAAATAGCAACATACTTTCATTGATTTTTTGTTTACATTAGTTTTTTCTTATTATGGGGATATAGGTCAAAAGCATTACCCAATTATAGCAAAATGTCATCTAAATACAAAGCAAATTTTATATTTTGTGTTTTTTTCGGGATTAAACCTCAACTTTATTATTTTCCTGAAAAGACCTTGTATTTTTTCGTTTTTCCCAAAAAAAACCCTCAAGTTTGTTCCTTTTTTCAAAAAAAACCCTCAACCTTCTAACTGTTTCCGAAAAAACCCTCTAACTTTTTTAGTTTTTTCCGAAAAAAACCTCACATTTTACAAGTTTTTTCGGAAAAAAAGGGTTTAAAGTCCCGTTATTTTGGGAATTGTTTTGATAAAGTCCTAATTTTTTTTTTGAACAGAAAAGTCCCATTATTTTGGGAAAATCACATACTCTGTCATTTCCTGTTAAAATAAATAAAAAATGACTTTTTCGCTAATTTGGGCAAAATGTAATCGGGACTTTTCTATTCAAAAAAAATTTAGGACTTTATCAAAAAATTTCCCAAAATAATGGGACTTTGTTTGCATAAAACCCGGAAAAAAATGACTAAAAGGGCCAGATGAAAAAAATGCAAGGTCTTTTTCAGGACAAAAAATAAAGTGAAAAAAACAAAAAAATATAAGTTTTTTTACGAGATTAACCCCAATTTTTATTGCTGTAGCTGGATCAGTTTTTTTAAAGTATAATTTCCTAATAAGAAAAATATTGAAATAGCTTTTCTATAATTTCATACATCTTTCAAAGTACAATGCCTTAATAAGCAACAAACTGAAAACACAATGCTATTCATATATCCCATATGTCTAGGATTCATCATCTGTTATGTTTATTTCTTATATAACTTCACACTTTATAAAATTTCTTATTTCTTCCTTATCAAAACATTGTACTTTACAAATTTCACACTCAATTATAACAACTCTATCAAATACAAATCATTTTTACTGTTATTATTGGTTAGATTTTTCATAGTATAATAATCTCCTAATAAAATAAAAACAAATAAATGAAAGTACATTGTTATTTCTTACACAGCATTCCAAGATGAAAATCCACAAATTGGGCAATCAAGTTCTCCACATATTCATCCAAATTTAAATTCAAATGAATTTATACCTTCCGGAAGCACCCCTGATTACAACAGTGACACTGCTTATGATGAGGCTTCAGAAATTGGAACCTCAAGAGACAACATATCAGAAATAGGCACAGAAGATTTATCTCTAGATGAAGATTTAGTGGGCCCACTTGAAAAACTAGTCAAACACGGTGTTTCAAATATTGATGAAGGGTTATTAATGGGAAATGCAATTCTAGACCAAGTTGAAGGGTATTCTAGGAATACAAATCATTCACGAGAGATTAACATGAGGGGTAGTAGTAGTAGTGAAAAAAATGGTGATTATGTATCTGAAAAAGATGATGGAAAATTTTTTAATGGGAATAATGAGATTATTAAGGAATCAAATGATGTAAAAAATTTGGTTCTTCCTTTAGGGCAACAACAAAAGATGAATAGGGTTCTTGTAAGTATGCAGAGAAGACTTGGAACTGCAAAAACAGATATGGAGGATTTGATTTCAAGATTGAATCAAGAAATAGCAGTTAAAGATTATCTTACAACAAAGGTATGAATATGAATATGATTTTTTTTTTTTTTTGAATTTAAAAATATGTTTTATATATTTAATTATGTAACTTTGATGTTTATATAATAGGTGAAGGATTTGGAGGAGGAGCTTGAAACTACAAAATTGAGAAGTAAAGAAAATCTTCATCAAGCAATTTTAATGGAAAGAGAAAGAGTTACTCAAATGCAGTGGGATATGGAAGAACTTAGAAGGAAATCACTAGAAATGGAGTTTAAATTGAAATCCCAATCTCAACAGGTTTTATTATTATTCTATTTATTTTATTAAACCAACTTTACAACAATTATTAACAAGTTAAATATTTTTCAGGGTGAAAAGGTGGAGGAAATGAAATCTGTGATTGAAGAAAAAGATGAATTACTTGAGGAATTGGAAGATACCAAAAGTAAACTTGACCAATTGTCAAAGAAACATCAAGAATTAGAAATTAAATCAAAAGCAGATGTGAAAATTCTTGTGAAAGAGGTTAAATCCCTTAGAACCTCACAAGCTGAATTGAAACAGCAGCTTAATCAATCACTTATCGGGAAATCAGAGGCAGAGGTAACTTTTTATTTTTTATTTTTGGAATAGAAGGGTAAAATGGTCATTTTAATGTTTTTGAAATTTGTGGTTAACAGAAACTAGTGCAACAAGAAAAGGAAAGAATGGAGGAGGAGAAAGCTGGTAGAATGAAGCTGCTTCATGAATGTGATGTTCTTCAAAAACGCCTTAGAGAGTGCAGCATGAATTTGGTAATAAATGGAAGTAGTGAGGACAAATTAGTCATTTGTTCTCCATCTGTTGAAGATGCTTTACAACTTGTGAAAATATCTGATGATCGAATGGAAGCCCTCCTTGCACAGGTACATTATAATATTTACAAACTAACATAAAAAAAAAAAAAAAAACCCTAAAAAACATATTACATATGTTGTGTTTTTTTATAAAAAAATTGTTCAGGCGCAGATGTTAGCAGAAGATGATAGTTTTGATGATGGCGACAACCCAACAAATAATAATAATAAACTTAGGAAAATATTATCGGAAATTCTGGTGGATAATATCACATTGAGAAGACAAGTGAGTCTTCTTTTTGATGGGGCCCTCAAAACAGGCATCATAACAACAACAACAACAACAACAACAACAAAAGACATGGAAGTCTCATTGGATAAGTCTTAAAAAGAAAAAAAAAACAAGAGGTTGGTTGGTTGGTTGGTTAGATACAGAAGATGGAAGTGTACATATACCACAAATATATCATAGCATATGATGCTTTACTAACATTACATTACCTTTGTGGGTAATTCCAAATTTTAGGGCTTGCTTTATTTTTTACTGATGTCTGTTTGTCTGTCTGGAGAAAGTGTTGTATACAAAATCGACTTTGGTCTTTCGAATCCTTTGTTTGATGTGTGTAATTGTTAGGTGGAGTTTAAATACAAAATCGACAAACCAACCCAAACTTGAAAACAACCAAAAATTCGAAGCTGAAAAATTGAATTAAAACTTCTTTTAAATGATGGTCTATATTTTATATGTAAGAACTCTTAAACCTAGCTTTTTGTGAGCTTTTAAAAAGTTGTTTACACAACTTTTCAAAAGTAACTAATAGTTTCTTGAGATAAAAAGACAACAATACTTTTACTTTAACCTATACTCTCGATAACTCTGATTTATATATGGTTACACGACAAAAATATTTAAATAAAGTAATATATAACTTTTTTTGAATTTTTTCTTGAAAATGAGAAAGATGATAAATTCTTAAATATATAATTATAAAAAACCGAAACTACTATATTATAATTATGAATTTAATATTTAATATCAAACATTAAAATAAAATACTATGCAAAAATTATTATTAAAAAAATTAATTAGTTAATAAATAACAAATATTTGAAGCTTATTATAGTTAGAGAGTAAAATGAAATATCACTGATTAAAGAAAGAGTTACTGGTATTATAGAGAGACTAAAAAAAGATTTAATTCATATAATCTTTGAATTATTCAATCAAAAAATGTATTGTCTACCAAAGGTCTTCTAAACCATCGGTATCCGGTGTTGTCATGCCTCATTGAGGTTGAGGGTTCACGTTCTGCAATGGACATAAGTGGAATTAAGGAGTAATTTAGGAGTAGAATAGATTTGTTGTTTAAAAAAAAGGTGTATTGTCTCTAATAGTAAAAATTAGTTTTGAGACTGATTCTAAATATTCAACCCCTCCATTTGACTTGATACAAATAACTTATTAAAAACTTTGTTTTGCTACCACACAAACCAATGAACATTTTTACTATAAAGTGCTTGTGTAACACCTGTGTTCCCAGGTATTTTCAATTATGGCTTAAAGGTTTAAAAAAAATTGCAATTTTGGTCCATTACACGGGGTGTACCCTATGGGTACGCTGGGCGTAACTCATTAAAGGAGGCGGGGACTCCTTTGAGTACGTTGGGCATACACAAGAGGTACGCAGGGCGTACTCGAGCTGACCCAAAACCCTAAAAATTTAGGACTGAACCCCTATTTAAACACCTTAAGTCCTATAAGGCCTCTTCATAATCAGCCTCCACTCTCCCCAAATGGCCATTTCGAAACCCTAACCCTTGAGAGATTGTTTTGAGATTTGCATGCTTGTGGAAGAAGGAGAAGTTCATCTATGAGGGTTGGTGGGCTTGGAGCTTAAAGATCCAGAACTTTCATCACCTTTGCAAGCTTCTAGACGTATAAAGCTCTTACCTTTATGGTTCTATGGCTTAGATCTAGACTAGCTTTGAGATTTGCATGCTTTTGGTCTTATGGTTTGGTTCTTGTGAGTAAAAGCTAAGTTTGTCACTTTATGTTGTTTTTGAGGATCATGTGTCATAAAAAGATAGTCTTTGTTGCTATTTCTCACTCATCCAAGAGTTTGAGGTTATTAAAGAGTATTATGGACTTAGGGTTTGGTATTGGGCTCTATAAACCTATGCAAAACCTTAAAGTTGTTAACTTTATCAATTAAGACCTTCCCAAGATTAAGAACTGTGAGTTGGATGTTTAGTCTTTAGGTATTAAAAGCTTAAAAGGTGGTTTTGGACAACAGAGGTTTACACAGGGCGTAATCTCCACGTACGCGAGGCCTAACGAGTTTTGCCCGTGATCTTTTATGTGGACGCCGAGTACGCAGGGCGTAATGAGAGGGTACGTATGGCGTACTCCTAGAAGTGCATTTTGGGCCTTGGGCCATGTTTAGTTGGGTCTAGTATGGGAAGGGTAAAATGGTCTTTTACCCTTAGTAAGAAGGAATATGATTTGGATATTTGAATATGGGTTATTACCCTAATTATTAATTAGGGTTGGTTTGCATGTGTTCAGTGCGATGGGAATTGTAGTAGCTGCGTGTGTGAGATTTCGGTTATCTTCAAATTAAGGTGAGTCTCCTCACAGTGTTCGTGGGTCGAAGGCACCAATGTCGGCCCGTTGATTTATGTTTATAGGATGCTATCTGTCTGTGACTCTTGCATGTATTGTATGTGTTTGTATGTATACCGGGCAGGGGCTGATGAAAGTGTTGTACGGGGCCCATCGTATGTTATTGACAGATCTGTACAGGGCGGGTTGTGACAACCCGAAATTTTTAGCATTGTAAAGCCAGTACAATCAACCTTAAGTCAGACTCGCTCCTGCTATCTTTTAGCACTGTTTAGAGTCTGTTTGAGTGTTCTAAGCCTAGTACATTCAAGGAATGAGTGATAGGAAGTACCTGCTAGAGACACTGTACAACATTCAAGCCTTAATAACCACCAAAAAGGAGTTCACGGCCATAGCACAAGAGTTTACGGCCGTAAACTCAAGGTTGGCCGTAAACTCCCCCCATAAGACTCATTCCCTTCACTTTCTTTCATTCTTACACTTTCAACTCAAGAACACTTCCATTCTCTCTCAAGTATCATCAAGATTTTCATTCCCGATCTTCAAAAATGTAAGTGATCCTTCCTTCTAGTTGTTGTTATCCTTCTTACTCATGAATCACCCTTTGATTCCATCCATGAAAACATCTTTTGGCTAGATCTTCATCTTTCACCAAGAACATACACTTGTTCTTGGTGGCCGAAAACTCCTTTTAAGGCTTCCAAATCGTGAGTATTCCTTTCATACACTTGTTATCTAGTAGAAGTCCATGATTTACATCCTTGAAATCAACCAATCTCCAAGATCAATGAGAGTTTACGGCCAGGAGCATCTCCCTTGGCCGTAAACCCTTGTTTTGGTTAGGTCTTGGGCCTTAAACACTTCTAGAACACTTGAACCTTTGAAAACCCTTTCCATTAAAAGCCAAAATGACACCATTTGGAGAGTTTACGGCCATACACTTTTAGTGTGGCCGTAAACACCTCAACACCTTCCAAAAAGTTAGTTTTGCTCATCCTCTTGTAGAGCAATAGTCCCACAAGTTTCCCTAGCATTCAAACACCCTCTTGTGCACATTTTACCATGAGTTTACGCCCGTAAACTCCATGGCCGTAAACCCATGGCCGTAAACACCATTTGGTGGCCATAAACACCCCTTGATGAATCACATGTGATTCTAACACTTGGTTAAAGTGTTTCCTAGTCCCTAAGGGTGTTTCCTTGCATTTTAGTTGCTTATAAACACTATATTCATGCAAATACATGCCATTTATGTCATTTAGGACTCGTTTGTGTTTCAGGACTTCATTCGTGGAACTTCTCATCCTTACGCGCATATTCGTTTGAATCACCCACATAAGGTGAGTTCATACCCCTATAATGAATCTTTTAACTGTTTTAAATGCTTTTAGGGGGGGGGGGGAATACAAGTTGAACACAATGATAATTGTGTAAATGTTTGTTATAAACATCTTTTAAAGGATTGCTTATGTTTTTATAAGTGATCAAAACATTTCAAAAAGCTCTTTTAAAGTTATGTTACTTTATAGTTTAACAAAACTCCGTTTTTAAAGTACAATCATAACTTAGTAGAAAAATGAGTCTTTTCAATAACAGTTCAAGTAAAATACTAGTAAACTATAAGGGATATAGTTTAGGGATTCAGTTCATACTAGATACTAGAGCATACTATAAAGAGAAACAGGGAGGTAGAAACAATACACGATAACATAGAGATCATACTATAAAGAGAAACAGGGAGGTAGATACAATACATCAGAGAGACATACTATACACTATATAAAGAGAACATACTAAGATACTATAACAGAACGAACATACTAAGATACTATAACAGAACGAACATACTAAGATGCTATAGCATAAGAACACTACATGATCTAAGTATACCAATGAATCACTAACTCATTGTTCTAAACAAAAGGTGATAGTTAAATTGGGTATACATGATCGTATAACTTTAATGTGAGCCTACTTCACGACTCAACAACTGGTTTGCTGAAGTCGCGTTTGGTTCCCAGAATCTCTTGCAGGGAGAGAGTATAGTATGGGGACTATTCATCACATTATGACCTTAATAAAACAAACATGTTTTAGGGTAATCAGTACTGCAGGTTGTCAATTCAAAAGACAACTGTGTACTTATATTTTCCCATTACTTTCATTTTGTGACAGTTCCACTTGAAAGTTAATGCAAACTATTTTCGAGTCAAGATAGTTATAAACTAGGGAAAACTTACATTTTACAAACGACAAACAAAACAATCGGGTCTAGTACATTCAGTAGAAAAGGGACCTATAATTCTAACTTTATGATTCCTTAGTGCATGCATTCAAGGATATATATTAATCGGATCCGACATGTAGTAGGATGTGTGCTTTCCGCTTCATTTCATGTTCCTTGTTTGGTTGTGGGCTTAGAGCAGATTCACCCAGCCTACTATCTATCCGATCTTAGCTATATATATGTTCCGTATACACTAAGTAATCATAAGGGGTACCATATATGGGTCAGGTCATAGGACACTAATTCAATGCACCGTTTTCTAGTACAAAACATACTTTTCAAATAAGAACTTTTGGTATACAAAACTAGAAACTTACCAGTAAAGGGTTTAATCCATTTTATTAAACCAGTATAACTTAAAGGACCTTAGGTGGTTAATTCTATAATACCATTGGTTTATACATCAAGGTTATATATAATTAATATCCGATAGGTAGTTGGATGTGTGCTTTCCGCCTCATTCCCTGTTCCTTGTTTGGTTGTGGGCTTAGGGCAGATCCACACAATTAACTATCTGTTCGATATTAGATTATATATGGCTGGTATAAACTAAGTGATTATAGAAGGAACCAATGTGGTTACCATTTTTATTAAAAGAAATAAGGGTTTTCTTAAAGAATCTTTTCATCAAATATAAAGGAACTATTACAGTTAACTCCGTGA